GGAAGAAATAGGTTGGACTTTTGGTTTATCCCTGGGGCATTACAGTCCAAGTAAGTTGTAGATTTTCACAGGTGAAGGCAAAGAGATATTGACTATCTTTTTCTACTAGAATTCTGAAGAAGACAGTACATAAATCTATTATTGAAAAATAATGGCAGTTTACAGAAATGGCTGATAAAAAAGTATGTGGATTTTGAACCACAGGTTGTGTGGGTATAACTATTTTACTTTCGTTCTGAGATTCCACATAAATTTTTATTCTTTGCAATTTTTTTATTGGAAGTTAGGAGAATTACAGGGGCTTGTATATGAAATTATAAGTCTGCTTGTGAAGTAATCTTACATAATGGGATTAATTACAGCTAGTGTATTAGGTCTTAAATGATATTGGTGAATATTTGGCAGAGGCAAAATATTGTCAATAGTTACTTTAAAAGGAGTGGCTGACTTGATTTTGCCAGTATCTGTACTGGAAAGGGCCCAAAGTGGTATTGGAATATCCAGTAACAAATGTTGAGTTTCAAGATTATTTTCCTCTGGTGGAAGTTTCTTTAAAATCATTATTTTTCCAATTGATTTAGCATTTGATTAATTTGGTTCTAAATACATTCCACCCTTCCAGGAAAAGGATATGTGGGCATTATAGATTTTAAGAAAATCTCTCCATATCAGGTAAATCAGGGCCCATTGGACCAGTAAAAATATGTGTTGCCCCATAACATTCCTTAGTTGAAAGGTGACAGGTTTTGGTTTTAAAATTGTCATTGTTTGGATATCCCTGGCATTTGCACAGAAGCTTTACTCTGAGGGAAAGGGAAACTTAGTTGGGTAGCGTTAAGAATAAACAAAGTAGCCCCAGTATCTACAAGGGCCTTAGTAACTTCCCCTTTTAGGATAATTTCAATTTCTTCTAAAGTATTAGCAAGGAGAAATCCTATAAGCAGCCATATGTTTGTTTGTTTTTTCTTTGTAAATGCCATTTCAGTGTTCTGCAATCTTTCTTATGGTGACCTGGCTTTCCACAGTAAAAACAGACTCCTTTCTCCCCTGTCTAAGAGACTTCTGAGTATATTTGATTTGGTTGTTTAATTGTTGGAGGTGTAAGTTCATAATTTTGTCAGTTTTATTTTATTTTTTTCTCTTTTGAATAGTTTTGATAGTTGATTGGCCAGAATAGCCAATTAATTAGCATGGGAGGTCTGTCAGTTCAATTTGTGTTATTTGATCAAAGTTACAAGCTCTTCATCTAGTCCTTCCATAAATGCCAAATTCAGTAAGGGATCATTTTGATGATCCTTAAAATCTTCTGGAGACAGACCTGAGTATTGTTTGAAAGTTTTTTCAAAATGGTCAAAGAAATCAAGCACCCTTTTGTCAGGCTTTCTTTTACTTTGCTGGATCTGGGTCCAGTCCATTTTCAGAGAAAAAATCTCATGTATGGCTTGATGAAGCTGGTGAGCTAATTCTCTGCATTTTTCCCTGTGTGTCTCTCTCGGTTTAAAAAAATCCTCTGCAGGAGTATGCCAGCTCACCTTATTCTGTTGCCTTGCTCTCAGAAACCAGTAGGTATATTAACTGGAATAGCCAGGATCATATGTTCTAGCAGTTCCATCAAATTCCTTTGCAAACCCACCAGCGTCTTGGCTGGAGCAGGCCAGGGAAATCTTTAGTTAGATTTCTTAATTCTGTTCTAGTCCAGGAAGATATACAATTGCTGGATCCCCTCTACCTGAGACAGGCTTTTCTCTGAAAGGAGCTGCTAGAATTCCTGCTTTATCTTTCTCTGAATTTGTATTCTCATTTTTCTCTAGGTCAGTAGGGAGTGGAAGTGAAGGAGATATAGAAGGAGAAGGAAGAAGGGAGGTTGAGGGCAAGTCTGCACAAGGCAGCTTAGAAAACAAAGGATATAGTGGAGAAGCTGTAGAAGGAGGAGAAATGGGATCTTGGCATTTATTGGCTTCAGAAACCTTCTTTAGTTAAGAGACAGTCTCTAAAGTTTTTTACTAACTTCCTTCAAGGAGGATATTTTATCTGAGCCTCTCCTAGAAGCTTCTCATTTCCAATCAAGATAAGCTTCCCATTCATCTTATTTAATTTTAGAGCCGTTTTTTTCTAATTGAGTGTGTAGGGAAAAAATCAGTTTGGAGTTGTCAAAATTCCCCACTTTGGCCATTTCAAGTTGATATCATTTTTAGTTAAAATTTTCCAATTTCTATAGATACTTGCAAGTTGAGATTCCATATGAATTGTATGTTTCTTGGGGGCATATTAATGAGGGGTTGGGATTCTTTGGGTTTATTGACTTTAGAGGCACAATTTTCCATTTTAATTTTAGTCTTTCTCTCAATATCTATGGAGTTTAAGAAAAATTTCTCAGGACTCTATGTAGTGGGTCAAAGTGTGCTGCTTATGGGTTGTGCTTCATGAGGCTCTCACTCCTCAAGTCATATTCAACCCTCTTAAGTGTCTTAGTTTCTCTCCCAGCTGTCTCAAACAACCAGAAGGGCTCAGGGCGCCGGGAGACCAACCCTCATGGGCACTTCTCCAGGGAAGCCTGTCAGTTTAATTACAGTGAGTTGGAATTTCCCTATGGAGTGGCGGCAGGTGGTAAGAAATGACTATTGATATCTCCACAAGTATTCTTTTTTTAAAAATTAAATCTTTATTGTTCAGATTATTACAGTTGTTCCTCTTTTTTTCCCCCCATAGCTCTCCTCCACCCAGTTCCCACCCCACCCTCTGCCCTTACCCCTCCCACTGTCCTCATCCATAGGTGTACGATTTTTGACCAGTCTCTTCCTGCACCCCCACACCCCTTTCCCCCCAAGAATTGTCAGTCCACTCCCTTTCCATGCCCTTGGTTCTATTATATTCACCAGTTTACTCTGTTCATCAGATTTTTTATTCACTTGATTTTTAGATTCACTTGTTGATAGATATGTATTTGCTGTTCATAATATTTATCTTTACCTTTTTCTTCTTCCTCTTCTTAAAGAATACCTTTCAGCATTTCATATAATGCTGGTTTGGTGGTGATGAACTCCTTTAGCTTTTTCTTATCTGTGAAGCTCTTTATCTGACCTTCACTTCTGAATGATAGCTTTGCTGGATAAAGTAATCTTGGTTGTAGGTTCTTGCTATTCATCACTTTGTATATTTCTTGCCACTCTCTTCTGGCCTGCATAGTTTCTGTTGAGAAATCAGCTGACAGTCATATGGGTACTCCCTTGTAGGTAACTGACTTTTTTTCTTTTGCTGCTTTTAAGATTCTCCCTTTGTCTTTTGCTCTTGGCATTTTAATTATGATGTGTCTTGGTGTGGTACTCTTTGGATTCCTTTTGTTTGGGGTTCTCTGCGCTTCCTGGACTTGTAAGTCTATTTCTTTCACCAGGTAGGGGAAGTTTTCTGTCATTATTTCTTCAAATAGGTTTTCAATATCTTGCTGTCTCTCATCTTCTGGCACCCCTATAATTCGGATGTTGGTACGCTTGAAGTTGTCCCAGAGGCTCCTAATACTATCTTCATATTTTTGGATTCTTTTTTCATTTTGCTTTTCCAGTTGGGTGTTTTTTGCTTCTTGTATTTCAAATCTTTGACTTGATTCTTGGGATCCTCTTGTCTGCTGTTGGATCTCTGCATATTATTCTTTATTTCAGTCAGTGTATGCTTAATTTCTAGTTGGTCTTTTTTCATATCCTCCAGGGTCTCACTAAATTTATCGGCAGTTTCCAGAAAATTCTTGAAAAACCTTATAACTGTGGTTTTGAACTCTATATCCAGTCATTTGCTTTCCTCCATTTCTGTAATTTGTGACCTGTTTCTTTGTCTCTGCATTTTTTTATGCTTCCCTGTGTTGGTAGAGTGGCTTTGTGTGCTAGGTGTCCTATAGGGCCCAGTGGCTCAGCCTCCCCTATTACCTGAGATGGACACTCTTATTGCACCCCCTTGTGGGCTTTGTGCACAGTCTTGTTGTAGTTAAGCCTTGATTGTTGTAGGTATCACTGGGAGGAATTGACCTCCAGGCCAATTGGCTGTGAGAACCAGCTGTGTCTGCAGTGGAAGAACTTCTGTGCTGAAAACACCCTTATAATAAGGGCAAGACTTGCTTCAGTGGGGCTTTGGTGCTCACTGAGTCTGCCCCCTGAGTGTGTCCCTTATGGATCTGAGGAGTTGTAATCTGGATGGTCCCACTCCGACCACTGGGTACACTGGCTCTTAGATCTGAGTAGGTGCTAATTTAGCCTCTGCCTGAGGCTACCCAGCAGGAGCTATGGAGAGATCTGCAGATTCCCCTTCCTTTTTTGGGGGGGTTTGGAGGTGCCCAGATGAGGCCCAGCTGTGAAGCAATGCAAGCTGCTGTGGGGCCTTGGGCCTTCTCTTGGAAGTTCTGGGTCTGTCTGGCCCAGCTGCAATTTGTTAGGTAATATTCAGATTGCAAAGGGCCAGGGCATTCATATGCAAAAGTCTCTGCCGCAGCTTGGGTGGGGCAGGGTCTCAGGGAATCAACAGGGTGGAGCAAGCAGCTATGGCTGATCCTCAGCCCTGCCCTAAGGGGCCCTGTGTCTCAGTGTCCTGGTAATTGCTGCAAGCACCTCTGAGGGAAAGCCGCCCTCAAGTTCTGAGTTCTGCCTGCTGCCAGACAGTCCAGTTTCTCCCTGTATAAGTCCTGGGTCCCCAGAGACTTCCCAGAACTGGAGTTCAGAGCAGTCGAGAGCTTGTGACTCCCTCCCGATTCAAAAAGACAGCCGAGTCCTCAGGTGCCAGCCCCTTTCCACGTGCGCGCTCGAGCCTCAGTACCTCTGCACTTTACATCCGAAGCTCCTCTGAGTCTCAGTGTGCTTTTCTCTTTCCTTCTAGTTGTAGAATTTCCACTCAGCCAGCCTTCCTGTAGTTCTGGATAATGTTCATTTTGTCTTTTTGTTGTATTTTTGAAGTTGTTGTGGGAGGCAGCAATTTCCAGTGTTTACCTATGCCGCCATCTTGGTTTCTCCTCCTCACCTAAGAAAACCAGAGATTTGGGCTGGAGGGAGGGTGTGCCCCTTATCTTTGGAGCTGAACAAATTCAGCTCTCATTTATATAGCAAAGCGTTTTTTGTTTGTTTGTTTGTTTGTTTGTTTGTTTGTTTTTTGCTCAGACTCTCAGAAAGCAATTCCAATTGAAAAGTGGAAATCAAAATGGGCCACCCATTTCAACTTCTGTCCTTTAGTGCCACCTCAAGGATTTTCTAACAATAGTTTAAATAAAGTCAGGCCTTCTACCACCAGCAGGGGAAGATCCTGGATTCAGGAGACAATTTACCCACGTTCACCTGATGCAGTCAGTGGGAAGCTGGCGGGGCTCAATGGGCTCATTGCTGCATCCTAGCACAAGTGTTCCTGGGTGAGCTTTTCTGGAATCCTGCCAACTATGTCAAGTAAATGTCGATGTAAGAAACATTCACACCTGTGAAGAATTTTTGTGAGTTTATTTGAGCCAAACTGTTGACAATTGCAGGGAAGCAAAGTCTCAAGTGACTGAGATAATGCCCCAGAGAATGGCAGCTTTGTCCCTTATTTTATACATTACAATCAAAAGAGGAGACATAAAGGGGTTAAATGACATCCACTGGTTATAGATTAGTGAGGTGGGAGACAGCAAAGCAGGGAAAGCTCACTAAATATGTAAAGCTAAAAATAAATATAAATATAATACATAGATATAGTAAAGAGCTGATAATTTCTGATCATAAGATTTTAAAAATAGCTAACTGATAAATAAATAACTGATAGGGGGCAGCTGACTTTGGGCAACCTTATTCCGAGGCCCCAGGTCATTGCTGACGAAAGCTAGATAAATTCGCATGAGAAGTTTAAGGAAAGTGCTCCCTCCAATGCCAGAGCTCAACAGTTATGACGCTATTTCAACCAGTCTGTGGCTTGTGCCATAGCACATACAACAAGCCCCACCGTTTTTGCTTCCCTGGTGCCGGAGGTACTCTGGGAAACAGGGGCTGACACTGGGACTTGCAATGCAGAGCAGTGGCCTTGGAGACCCAGAGGCTGCCTTCTTAGCCAAGCTCCATGCTCAGAGAGTGGGATCCCCTTGAAAATGCACTATATTCTGCACAAAGGTAAGAAGTTTAATTTGGAAATACAGGCTTGGGCACCACAGAACCAAAGCCAAAAGGGACATGAGATACACATTTTTACATCTGCTTGGGGAAGGGTGGTCAGAACATTTCATTCTTTTTATACAAAGGCAAGCAGTTCAAGCACCTAGAGCAGTGATTCCCAAAGTGGGCGCTACCGCCCCCCGGTGGGCGCTGCAGCGATCCAGGGGGGCGGTGATGGCCACAGGTGCATTTGGGGGCGATGAGTAACTGCTATTAAAATTTAAAAACAATTAATTTCCAGGGGCTGAGTAATATTTTTTCTGGAAAGGGGGCGGTAGGCCAAATAAGTTTGGGAACCACTGACCTAGAGGTACCCATCCACCCTGAGATACTGAACCTCAGTCCCTTATCAGGAAGGCAACTGTTCACCAAACCCCAGGGACAGAGTAGCAAGGGCTGAGGGAGGGGTTCTATCACCCTGTCACTCCTGCTCCTTCCTCTCCCCCACCCCAAACCCACCCTGTAATACACATACTTTCTCTCCCTTTCCTAGGGGCCATTGCCATTTCCAAAGTCAATGTAAGATCTTCAGAAGAATTGTGGGAAGTTCTTATCCTGTGAGTTATCTAAGTAATATGATGGGCAAAGTCTTTTAGATCATTTACTGGGTGATTCTTGGATAACTTGATGTTTGCTCATCAGCTGTAATAACTTTATTACATGGACTATCTAGCATTCATAAAATGATAACAGTGACGCACAAACGGGTAATATGATTGATTATTTTGTTTATTCCACAAACGTTTATTGAGCACCTACTATAGTCCAGAAGCTACACTAAGGTCTGGTGATATGGTGATAGAAGACATGGTCCCTGGCCTCGACATATCAGATAGATATTGTGATATTATAGAAAATATGTATATTGGTCTCTGCCTCCTGCTCCCAACACAAGCTCCTGAAACCCTTGGGAGTTCCTGGGTGGTAAGAGCACTGGGAGCAGCTTTTGTTCTAATATTTGGTCTTTGACCGCAGGTCCTGACACATGGCTCCTGACACCCCTGTCATTTCCTGGCCGAGAGCAGTGTCTTTTGTTCTCATGAAGAAACTCCAGATGGGCTCTTGGATAAAGGCTGTTCACCAGACTGACAAAGCCGTGGTTAGAAGCTTGGAGTTCTCAGCCTCACCCAGGGACAAGGGTTGAAAATGGAGTTAATCATTAACCATGATGAAGCTCCACCAAAAAAAACCATAGGATGGGACTTAGGAAGCTTCTATGTTTGCAAACATCCATACCTGGAGGGTGATGCACCCCAATCTATGGGCATACAAGCTCCTGTGCTGGGAACCCTAACAGAGCTCACCCTATGTATCTCTTCATTTGGCCATTTGTCTGTATCCTTTATCAGATCGTTTAATATACCAGTAAATGTAAGTAGGTGTTTCCCTGAGTTCTATTAACTGATCGAGCAAATTAATCAGACCTGGGGAAGAAGAAGGGTCATTGAAACCTGCAATTTGTAGCAAAATCAGACATAAGTTGTGGGTGACCTTGCAGCCTACTACTTGCAGCTGGCATCTGAAGGGGGTCAATCGTGTGTGACTGAACCTGAAATCTGTGGAATCTGACTCTATCTCCAGGTTGGAGTGCTGAGCTGAGTTAAGTTGTAGGACAGCCAGCTGGTGTAGTGGAGAACAACCCACACATTTGATGATCAGAAGGGTCAGAGCAAAGTGTTGTGTCAGAGCGAAAAACAAGAATGAGCTAAGCAGGTGACACACAGGAGGAAGGATTCTAAACTCAGCAACAGGAACACTTACAAAAGTATGCATGTTTGAGGAAACAAATAACTTACTATCACGATATCACTCAACCCGAGGCAGTTTAGGCTGATGTGGAGAGAGTGTTCCAGGGCGTGGCCCCTGTCAGACCCGCAGGCAAACTGGACCAGGGCCTGAACGGAGACTGTAATCAGTGACGGTTCTGACATAACCTAGCACCCCTCCCCTGTTGCATGCTGGTTCCTGGGACAGGCCTTTGTCCTGACCTGGTCCAGCATGTGATTTCCCATACCTGGTAGCTTTCACATGCTAGTACCCATGACTGTCCCCCCTTTATCCTATATGATTGTTTGCTCCTGCCAAGCTGTGTGGAATCCATTTTGAATTGAAGCCACCTAAGATGTATTTAATGAGCTGTGTCCATTAATAAACTATATAAATTACCAGACTGGAATGGCTAGCCAGCCGTGGGCAAACTACGGCCCGCGGGCCGGATCCGGCCCGTTTGAAATGAATAAAACTAAAAAAAAAAAAAAGACCGTACCCTTTTATGTAATGATGTTTACTTTGAATTTATATTAGTTCACACAAACACTCCATCCATGCTTTTGTTCCGGCCCTCCGGTCCAGTTTAAGAACCCTATGTCCATTAATAAACTATATAAATTACCAGACTGGAGTGGCTAGCCTCTTTCGTCTATCTTTCCCTGCCCTCTACTTACAGAGCTAGATTTTTAGTCCTGGATTCTTCACTGGGTCTGTGTATCAACAACTGGATATCTATGAAGAGCCTAATATGCGATGCCAATAAATTTCTACTTTACCTCACAGGCTACGGAGAGCCTCTGAAAAATTCTGAGCTGTGTGGTCACATAAACAGAATCATGTACTGGAAAGATTGCTCTGCAGCAATGTAGACAAATAGGATGAGGACAGGACAGAAATACCAGTGCCGCAATATTTCCAATGAAAGACACCACGTGATGAACTGGAGGCACAGAAGGAAGAGCTGCTTGAGAACAATGCAGGACAGGCCCAGGGGATTTTAGGTAGGAAAGAGAAATCCAGCATAACTTTCAGGTTACTGACTTGGACCATCGGGCGAATGGCTGACAAGCAAGATTGGGAGAACAGAAGGCAAGTGAATTTGGAAGAGAAAATGAATTTCGTTTTTGATGTGGTAAGGTTGGGGTTCCATGGAAGGTTCAGGTCTAGGCACCAATGTCATTGTGGGATTCATCAGCCAATGGATGTAGCTGAAGTCAGGTGTTGGGGAGGCTTGCCAGGGAAAGGAGGGGACCCCTAGGAATGCTAGTACATAAGGGAGAATGGCATTTCCTTGTCTTTTTCTGGCATATTTCTAAAGACCCAGGGAAAGACACAGGCTGGATAGGCCAGAAAAGCACAAGAAGAATCAGGGAGTTATTAACAAAAGCACAAAAGGAGTTTTAAAGAAAGAGCTGCTACAATAATCAAAACAGTATGGTATTAGCAGAAAAATAGACACACAGACCAATGGAACAGAACTGAGAGAGCAAAAGTATACCCTATATGGGCAACTAATTTTAGGCAAAGAAGCAAAAAACATACAATGGAGAAAGGAAAGCCTTGTCAATAGTGTTGGAAAATTTGGAAAGACACACGCAAAAGAATGAAACTAGACTGCTATTTGACACCACACACAAAAATTAACTCAAAATGGATTACAGACTTAAATAGAAGACCTGAAACAATAAAATACATATAAGAAAACATAAATACCAAACTTATGGATCT